AATTATGCTGGATGTCCTCCAGCCAGTAAATGAGGCAGGTTCTGACTTGCTGCAGCTTCTAATGCACATTGTGAGAAGCTCGCAGTGTGCAGTGACATCAGAGTAAGCAATTGCAGTCCAGGAGAGGAGCCGGTACAACTGTGCCAGACTGAAGGGAAGGCCGGAGTCCTGCCAGGTCTTGCGCTTGTTGGATATCAGAGATATCTAGCAATGGCTGCTGCTTCTGCTCGCTGCGACAAATATGCTTCAAACCCGCAGAGTAAAGGGCTGTGATCGTAGATGTGACGAGGAAAGCCACAGCTTAGGTAGTTAATAGAGAAATCTGATAATCACTTCCAGTGTTGCATGGAACTAAAGCAGGGGTAGCAAACCTCCGGCCCTCCAGCTGTGGTGAAACTACAAATCCCATGATGCGTCTCTCTTCGGGAGTCATGTCTGTGACTATGAGAATCTTGCAATGCCTCATGTGATTTGTAGTTTCAACACAGCTGGAGGGCCGGAGGTTTGCTAACCCCTGAACTAAAAGGATTGGAGGCATGTTCCCATTAAAATCAAAACCAAGGAAGACTTTTCCTTGCTGAAAATATGAAGACACCAAAGAAAAAAACAAACAATTTTATAAATAAATGAAAATAATGAAGTGGACATTGTTCAGCTGGAGAGTATGTAAGAGAACATGTAACCATGTATTTATATATGTATAATTACCAAGCCCAACTCCAGCCATACGTTTTCTTTTAGCTTCATTGTAAAGAGAAGTGGGGGGAACGTGTGTGTGCTCTATGAATACATCACAACCTCAGTCCGAATATCTCCTAAAACGGTCACATGGTCCCTCATATCAGCTGCCTCCTGAAGGGTGATGTTTGGATACTCTACTTAACAGAGAACTACGGGGTACACACCTCTGTTTGGTATATTTTGTTTCCTAATGACACAGGAGTACATTGTGCACTGTACCCCGGATATCAAAAATCCACCATAAGCATGGACGTGCACTTGAGGTGGGTGTATGGCCGCGTACTCCCATAGAGAAGGAATGGGGCTGTGTACTAATCACACGCAGCACCTGTCCTTCCCGGGAGCTGCCCGATATGGCCGTGCACGCAGCATGGAGCTGAACGTGCCGGCCGATTCCTGTGTGAATGAGACCTTAGACACATTTATAGAATGCAACAGAAAAAGGTTTGAACTTTTGTCAGATTTCCAATTCCGCATGTGGCCCCATAGAGGAGATCACTCTTCCGTCACCTGTACAGGAAATGAGGGTGTAAACCTACGTCCCTCCACTAGAAAATGTGTTTTTATTGCTGTGCGTCTCTCTTCAGGGAAGAGGGGGGATCTCCCCTCACTTCCTGTTCTATCCGACACACAGGAAGTGAGAGGAAATCTTCCCAATGAGGACATTTTATTCCTTTCCTCGAGCTAAGTGAAACTTTACAGCACAGTTATATGGCTGGAGCTGGCCTTTTAAATAAGCTAGGGCTATGATGGCTCGGAAACGCTGTAACATCAGACCAGTCAGGGGGCAACCCCCCAGTGGATTATCTTTTCGGTCGGTCCATGTCATCAATAGCCGACAGGAGCTTCTGTCTGGCCTTTTTATTGATGTGGGAACCGAGACAAACGTTCACCAAGTTGGTTAGCTGCTTCATGGAGTATTCCTAAAAAAAGAAAGAAAATAGAAAAAAAAGAGGAAAACTACTGAGTATTAATAGACTAGACATCCGATGAACAATGTTATGTAATTTCGGAAGACAGTGCGCCAAATTAATGAGCCAACAAGAACTTTTAATGAGGAGCTGTCCGTTCTGAAATGATCTTGTTTTCTCTCTCTGCTCTCTATGCATAGGAACAGCTGACTTGACTCTCAGGCGACATAGCTGAGGACACCTGCACATCAGCCTTCTGTCTATCCACCCTCATCCCTGCTCTGTCTCTTCTAGTAGATTGTGAGTTCTGACTTCCCTGGCTAATCAGTGATCCAAAATACTAAAGCCAGACGCAGCCAGGAAACTATTTCAAAATGAGGTCTGTAATGGTGGCCTACATTTCTTTCACCGTGGCTACTCATCACCCTCGTCCTCATCACTTAAAGGGATAGCTCACCTTTCAAAAATCCCCCATACTTTCCATTATCCCCAGCAAGCCAAGCAGTGTTCAGATGTAAAAAGCTGCCCATTTTCCAATGCATACCTGTAGGTGCTTCACAGCCTGTGTACAAAAAACCTCTAGGTGGTCGACCCCCCTCTGTGTAGGCTAGCACCTACAGGTATGCAATCAGGGCCGGATTTAACCTCCCTGCCGCCCCAAGGCCAGGTTCCGCGATACGCCCCCGCCCCCCCTTCCCATTAATGGAGAAAGCAGGACTTGTGCAAAGCAGGACTAAATGTAGAGAGGGCAACTTACTGCCCGACGGCCGGAACTTCTCCACAAGGACACCGCTGCCGCCCCTATGCGCCCTGCCGCCCCGAGGCCGTGCCTCGGTGGCCTTGTGGCCTTGTGGGGAATCGGGGCCTGTATGCAATGGGAGCAGCTTTTTTTAACATCTGAACGGTGCTTTTCAATGTGCTCGAGATTGAAAGCATGAGGGGTATTTTTGGAAAATGTACAGAAAGGTGAACTAACCCTTTAAATCTAAAAACCAGGTAAACAGCTAAATACACCAATGAAATATATATATAGGGATTCCTGCCTTCCTGAAGCCTGAGCCACCCATACAGCATCCTAAAATGTCATAACTTGCAAAAATTCACTGGTAGATAATATATTTTGTAGCTGGTGGGTCCCTTTTAAGATGTCAGAGAAGACATTGTTTCATCTGCAGTCCCACACAGTAATCTTTTAGGCCGACATCCAAATAATACAAAGTGATGGCATAAGACACTCACCCGGTGCTCCTTGATCCACCGTTCCATGTCATTCTCCGTCAGGTAATAGGCCTTGATGTAAGTCTCCACAAACTCCTTATCGGGAATGGGCCGGATGTCTGTCAGCTTCTCCAGCTTCATCAGGAACTGCTGGTAGTCCAGCTGCATCAGAGCTCGCCCTTCATTGCTGCACTTCTTCACATTGGCATATCTAAATGGCGACGGAACCGTCTCTATTAGTTTATTAAGCTAGTAGCTTGTGGTCATTAAAGTGAAGAGAATAGAGCAGACTTTACCCTTTAAGACCCCAATTACTATATTCAGTGTGTCCAAAGATCCTAGGAACCCTATGCCAATATCATCTTGAATTCTGAGATAAGTCCTACCTACCGGTAGCCACCACACCAATATTCAATAAAAGTGCTGTTTTTGGGCACTGGGATGCTCATAATGGGTACTTGGCTGTTGTAAGTCAAGGTGAAGTAGAGCCCTTGGTGACACTGGATCTCCAGGTCTTTTCTGGGTAGTGGCACCTTGTAACTCCTGTCCTTGTGCAGAACTTTTAGCTCTGTAAATTTTAAGCACGCTAACAGGTTCACTTTAATGGCAGTTAAATAAAAGTGGGTACTCACCCCTCCACAAGTGTCCTGTTGGCGAGTCGTATGCAGTGTTCCCAGAGAATATTGGACACGGGCAGAGGTATACGGACGTGCTTTGACAGTTCAGACAATTTCTTATTAAACAGCTCAAATTCCTGTAACATAATGGTGCCATTATAATAAGAATAAATACAATGCTCCTATTATACGCCTTTATAACCCCCCATGACATGGCAACTAAGGCTTTATTTTACTTTATTTCCAAGATTGCTAAAAAAAAAAAAAGGCTGGACGTGTTTCCAACTGGCTATAACCATTTATAGATAACAACTCTGTAGATTGTGGACCCAAGGGTTTTTTCTACTGTCTGAGGAGACCAGAAACAGATTTCTTTTTCCCCGTCGGAGCAAACTGAACCACACTTTATAGGGTTTCTATCGCCCTCCTGGATCAACAATGGGTCTAGTGTCCTGAGAATGCAAGGTTTGTAAAGGCCAATTTTTTTTAAAATAGTCCCCCAGTAATGGCTGCAAACACAAAAAACTGCTCTGGCTGCAATATCTTCTCTATGGTGCTTGTCCCTTGCAGGAATTCAATTTCACCACTAGATGTCCTCAGTGTTCTGGGATGCATGAAGCTGGGCTGAGTACTAAGGGCATACTGTAAGTGCAATTACCTACCCCTGACCACGGCGCTCTGCACTCAGAGCAATAAGGCAGAGTGGCGCTGTCATCACATCGGCATTCTCGGCACCATTTAGGACCTCTCACTGATAATACAGAGAGGATCCTACACATCAAGTGACCAGCCTGAAGGCTTTGGAGATGGGAAGCATATTGTGTCTATGTATATACCTATGT